GGTGATCGCCAAGGCACACCGCGTCTCGCGCCCCGTCCGTGAACAACGGGCGGCCCCGCGAAGGACGAACGGCGGCTCCGCGGGCCCCGAACCCGCGACCCCCCGGCGGTTTGTGACCGCTCCCGCTTCACAAGGGCAATCGTTCGCTCCAGGTTCGCGTAGGAAACTCCACGGAGGTGACAAAAATTACTGACTGGGGCGGGCTCCCGCTTTGGGTCAGGGGTCCCTATAAGGCTACGGATCGCCGAGCGCTGCCCGCGGCTGGTGAAAGGCAGGGAAAACGCTACGCTCCATCCATTCGCACGCATCCCAGCGTCCACAGAGGCAAAGAATCAAGCCCCTAGCCGTGAGGGACTCCAATTTACACTGCAGAACAAGGCGACGTACAGGCTAAATCGGCGGGCTCCCGCTTTGGGTCAGGGGTCCCTATAAGGCTACGGATCGCCGAGCGCTGCCCGCGGCTGGTGAAAGGCAGGGAAAACGCTACGCTCCATCCATTCGCACGCATCCCAGCGTCCACAGAGGCAAAGAATCAAGCCCCTAGCCGTGAGGGACTCCAATTTACACTGCAGAACAAGGCGACGTACAGGCTAAATCTTCCCCGTTCTTCCCCATCCTGCTTCTGGAAGACAAATGCGCTGAGCATCTGTATTCAGCAACTCGATTCTTTAATATCGCTGGAAAACACTACTCACATCTGAGCCTGCCACAGAAATAACTCAAAACTGACTACAATGGCTAAATACTTTCTGCACAGAGGTACCCAGTCCGAACTGGCCGTAAGCAGCGTTCGTAGGAGACCGCAGCGCTGTCCACAGATGGTAGCCATTGCTGCCTCGCAAGTCCTCTGCCGCACAAAACACCCTGCTGAAACACGTCACGGCCCCTCATCTCAGCGTGGCTGCAGGAGGCTGCTGCTGCTCAGCTGGAAAGCATGCACTACAAATCTGCAGTCCGTTAACATTCAGTACCAATTAGAAATAACTAATGATTTGTAAACCAACAAAAAAAAAATAAGCTGACAGTGAAATAGCTAATGATTTGTAAAAAAACTGGCTGACAGTGGGTTTGTGTGTTTACAAATTAGTATTTTTGCAGAAATACCAGGGGGAAACGAGTCGAAAGTACTTTCACAAGGAAAACCTCTTTGACCTCAATGTGTTTAGACCATAGCACGGCTTCTGGAATAAACACGAGTTGTATTTATTTCACAATAGTGACATTGCAGTTGGTCCAGTTACTCAACAACGTTCCTTACTTAAGCAGTTAATATTTGCCTGTTCCTCTAGTGTCAATTCTCTTGTTAGTATTATAGCATATTTTGATAGCATTAAATAATAGACTGTACACAGTTGGTTAAATGCCAACAAGTATGATGCTCTCAGGACATCGTTACTTCTTCCCGTGACTTTAGGGGAGTAAATCCTGCAGTCCTTACTGTATTTATCATGAATCTTTGCTACCCTGTACTGTACTGTATTTATTCAGAAACAGTCTGAAAGGCCAGGCCAAATTTTTAAGGTGCCTTACGCTGACCTCTAAAGTGAGGTCTTGATCTCTAGAGCTCAATTTATTAAAACACTATTTTTAATTTCCAAGCTTTTCTGTGCAGTCTGTAAATTGTGCATGCCAATGATGCATATAAGCAACTCTGCGCATAGATCATGCCTTGATACGGATGGTAACTTGCTGGCTATGAAAGCAATGGGTCTCATTTTAATAACTGCTTGTGAAATGCGGTTCTGCCCTCCAAAATCTAAGCACAGGTGAATAACCCTCGGCTCCTTTTTGCTTCAGTTCACATCTGTATTAGAACTTGTGTGCAATGATACTGACACTTCACAACAATTGCAATTTATGGTATAGCTTCTGCACCTAAAAAGGCCTACAGAACTGGGTAACCTGAGTCAGTACGAACGGGAATGGCAGGACTTTTAATATTCTGCATTAGATAGCTGTAAGTGAATGTATTTTATGGTGGGAAGTAAAACAGAGAGATGCCGCCTAATGGTTATAGTTACTGTAAACATTCTCATCCTTCCCTTCCATAAAATAAAACAACATAAAATAGCCATAAAGTGCTCTGGAAGGCTAAATAACCCAGAAGTGCAGAGTGGGACTGAGAAACCTGCTCCCGTATTTTCCACATTTTAAATATAGCAATAAGAGAAAAATAAATCAGAATACTTGCTTGTCTTTAA